TTCCTGCACATCATGCAGCAGCACCCCGAGATGATCCAGCAGGTAATTCCCAAGCCCAGCTCCCTGAATATTCCCAGCATGATGGCACACAGGGCCTGCTTTCTCCCTGCTCTGCAGCCCCCAGGGTTTTATGGAATAAACAGGGTTGTTGTTTTTTTTGCTGGTGTCCCACGCAGTCCTCGTGGGGTAGGTGTGATGCCGTGGGATTCCAAGCCCTGCTCCAGGGATGTGGTTGTCCCTTGTGCAAGGAAAACCATTTTGGCCTTTCAGATTAGCCAAAAAAAACAAGCTTTTTGGCTTTAAGAGAAACACAGCTCTGGTGTTCTCCAGCCTCACTCAATGGGACTTGTCAAAGTGTCAGCACAACTCCCACGTGGAAACAGGGAATATTGGGATATTGTTCCACCCTTGCTGGTGGATCAGGTGCCAAGCAAAGCAGGCTTTTTTGGGGGCTGGAGACTGTATTTTCTGAGGCTAAAAAAGAGAAATTGCATCTTCCAGCCCAGCTAAGTTGGATCCTGGCCTGAGCCTAAGGAGGCTGTGGAGGGAAAGGCAGGGAAGGGTGAGAGGAAACTCCTCAGGGCATTCAAACATTCCCTTGTTTAGGGAGGATGAGACAATCCTCCCTGGCTGCCTTGGGGCAGGATGGGATGTGTTGGGAATCCAGCAGTTCATGGAGGCTCCAGCTCCTCCCATGATGGGATGGGTTAATGTTGGACTCATGGAATGGTTTGGGTTGGAAAGGACCTTAAAGCCCATCCAGTTCCACTCCCTGCCATGGGCAGGGACACCTTCTACTAGCCCAGGTTGCTCCAAGCTGGTCTTGGACACTTCCAGGGATCCAGGGGCAGCCACATTCTTCTCTGGGAATTCCATCCCAGCCCCTCCCCACCCTCCCAGGGAGGAATTCCTTCCCAATATCCCATCTAACCCGACTCTCTCTCAGTTTTAAGCCATTCCCTGTTGTCCTGTCACTCTGTGCTCTTGCAAATAGCCTCAAAGGTGTTTCCCACCCCAAATTCCAGGATTCCCTGGCACTCAGGGCTCTGCACTCCTGATCCTCCAGCCCTGGAGCCCCCAGGGTGACTCTCTGTTCCCAGGCCATGCTGAGCAGGGAGCTGGGATGGGCAGGGCTGCTCTCAAACCCCATTTCCCTCTTCCAGATGCTCTCGACAGTGCTGAACATCATCATCTTCGAGGACTGCAGGAACCAGTGGTCCATGTCCAGGCCCCTGCTCGGCCTCATCCTGCTCAACGAGAAGGTAACGGGGCCAGGAGGGATGGCAGGGCTTGGCTGGTGCTGAGGGAGCAGCAGATGGTTGGGAAGCCTTGGAAGAGACCCTGTGCCAAGGGAAGGGTGTCCAGCCCTCCCTGCACACCCTCGGAGCTGAGGAATCCAATTCCCTTCCCCTCAGAGCCCCCCGAAGAGCTGTAACACGTTCCCTCCCTCCTCCCAAGAGCCCCTTGTGCATGTTCTACCCCAAAGCTGAGGTCCCCTGGGAACTAACCCATCCTTTTCCTGTCTTCCCAGTATTTCTCTGACCTGAGGAACAGCATAGTGAACAGCCAGCCCCCAGAGAAGCAGCAGGCCATGCACCTCTGCTTTGAGAACCTCATGGAGGGCATCGAACGCAACCTGCTGACCAAGAACAGGGACAGGTCAGTGTGGGGCTGGAGCCTCCTGGGCAGCACGACACTGGAGCAGCTTTTCCATGACATTCCTTCATGGAAGGGGTTGTCCAGGGCAGTGGTGGAGGGATTTCTCACATGTGGGGATCTGGGCTTGGCACTGCTGGGTTGAGGGTCAGGCTCGATGACCTCAGAGGGTTTTTCCAGCCTCAATTCCATGATTCCATTTTAGGGAATCAGGGCAGTTTTTATGGTTTTTTTTTCCCCAAGGCTGACCAGGCAGTGTTTAAATTAATTGGCAGTGCTTAATGATCCTTTTCACAGCTGGGTTCCAATAACCTGCACTGCTCAGGGTTAATAAAGAGGGCACCAGCAACCCAAAAATGCAGAGTGGCTTCACCCTGCAGGCAGGGAGAGAGGCAGATTTCCAAGTGCCCACCTCTGCCTTCAGACACTTCATCTCCCACTGCTTGGTTTGGGGCTTTGGGCTGCAGGTCACGTGTTTTTAATGAGTTCTCTGGAGGTTCAGTTTTCATCACGTTCATCGGGGCAGTTCCCTTCTCACCAGCTCAGGGGGGGAAATGAGTTGTTCTGAAATAACTCTGAGGTACAGGATGAGGAGTTGGGCTGCCCTGGAAGTGCTTTAGCACCCAAAGGAGGGCACTAAGATGGGGAAGGGCCTTGAGAGGGGCTGTGTGAGGAGCCTGAGGGCACTTGGTGTGTTCAGCTGGAGGAGAGGAGACTGAGGGGAGACCAGGGACAGCACCCAGGGAATGGCTGGAGCTGTGCCAGGGCAGGCTCAGGTTGGATCCCAGGAAAAGGTTCTTCCCCCAGAGGCTGGTTGGGCACTGCCCAGGCTCCCCAGGGCAGTGGGCACAGCCCCAAGGCTGCCAGAGCTCCAGGAGGGTTTGGATGATCCTCTGGGGCACAGGGTGGGAGTTTTAGGGATGGTTCTGTGCAGGGCTGAGAGTTGGACTCACTGTTTCCCGTGGGTCCCTTCCAGCTCAGGATATTCCATGATTTGAGAGCTCAGGGAGTGTTTGGATGATCCTCTCAGGGCCAAGGTGGGATTCTGGGCAGGGATTGGACTCGCTGCTCCCGGGGGGGTCCCTCCCAGCTCAGGATATTCCATGCTTTGAGAGCTCAGGGAGCATTTGGATGATCCTCTTAAGGCCAGGGTGGGATTTTGGGGTGTCCTGGGCAGGGATTGGACTTGCTGCTCCCCATGGGTCCCTCCCAGCGCAGGATATTCCACGCTTTGAGAACTTAGGGAGCGTTTGGATGATCCTCTCAGGGCCAGGGTTGGGATTTTGGGGTGTCCTGGGCAGGGCTGAGGGTTGGACTCACTGTTCCCTGTGGGTCCCTCCCAGCTCAGAATATTCCATGATTTGAGAGCTCCAGGAGTGTTTGGATGATCCTCTCAGGGCCAGGGTGGGATTCTGGGGTGCCCTGGGCAGGGATTGCACTCGCTGCTCCCCGTGGGTCCCTCCCAGCTCAGGATATTCCATGCTTTTAGAGCTCCAGGAGGGTTTGGATGATCCTCTGGGGCACAGGGTGGGTCTTTTAGGGATGGTCCTGTGCAGGGCTGAGGGTTGGACTGGATGCTCCTTTGTGAGTCCCTTCCAGCTCAGGATATTCCATGATTTGAGAGCTCAGGGAGCGTTTGGATGATCCTCTCAAGGCCAGGGTGGGATTTTGGGGTGTCCTGGGCAGGAGGTCCCTCCCAGCTCATCCCTGTGCCCGAGGGGGTCCCTGACTGCCCTGCCTGCCCCCCCAGGTTCACCCAGAACCTGTCAGCGTTCCGGAGGGAGGTGAACGACTCCATGAAGAACTCGACCTACGGCGTGAACAGCAACGACATGATGAGCTGACACCTCCCACCTCCAGCTGTACAGAGCAGCATCTCCTTGGCCTGGCCCAGAGGGGTTTCTGATGGAAAGAAAAGAGGCCCTTCCTAAATCCCTGCCCTTCCCCAGGGCTGGATTGTGGATCCCACAAGGGAGGAGGGAGCAGGAGGTTGAGAGCTCGACCTGGGCAGGTGCTTCTGTTTTCCGTGGGGGAAAAATAAAAAAATAAAGGGGGTGGAAGGGGCATAATCCAGGTGCAAGAATCCGACGTCTCTCCCTACCCCTGGATGTGGAAACGCCAGCGCTCTGCTGCAGCCTGCCTTGTATAAAACATGTACATTTTTTCATAACATTTTGAACAAGGTTTATATTGACTCGAGTTTAAAAAAAAAAAAAGGACAAAAAAAAGAAAAAAAACGACAAAAAAAAAGAGGAAAAAAACAAAAAAACCACACACACACAAAAAAAACCGACACAAACAAAATGATGACAGAAAAAAAAAGAAAAAAAAAATACAGTGTGATTGAAATTTTTACAGAGTCCTGGTGCACCGGTGCTGGCGTGAGGGTTGTGTATGAGAGTGAGGAAAGCGTGGCCTGAAGCTTTACTGGGCGAGGGGGTGGCTGTGTGTGAAAGTGCAGAGAATCTATTTAGTGACAGTAGAGAGAGAGAAGCAGGAAAAAAAAATTAAAAAACTTAAAAAAAAAATTAAAAAAAAAAAACCAACGCGGCAAAACCCGACAAAAAATTAAAAAAACTTAAAAATTAAAAAAAAAAAAAGAAAAAAAAGAGGCATTGTAAAATTCCAAAATGTATATTTTTTCTTATCGAGCCCGCCCTTGAAATCACAATTTTCCCCGGTCTCTCGCCCTTGTTATTAGGAACTCGAAGCCATGGCGTGACCCTCCGTTCGTGCTTGCTCGTGGGTGTCTCTCCTGTCCCCCCCCTCTCTGGAGCAGTAGCCCCTGTCCCCTCCCAGGGCCCTCCCCTCCTCCCCCAGTTCTGTTTTATCCCCCTTTCCCCCCCCCAGCGTGAGCAGGAGCTCACGGCAGCACAGGGAGGCTTCTTAATAACAAGGTTTTTGCCCAGCATGAAGTGTCTGACACCCCTGGGGAACGAGCCCAGTTCTTTTCCGAGTCACCACCATAAATGTTCGGGATATAAATCGATAGAAAAAATTGACTTTGAACAGAGGAAAGCTGATGGGGGAGGGAACCTGTTTGCCTTGTATTTTCCCACTATTGTTGCTGCTAGTCGTGTGCATCCTCTTGCTCAGCTCTACCCACAGACACTCGGTCCTTAGGGCTTCAGTTTTATTTCCCAGACACCACCTACTCTTTAATTTTATTTTCCTTCTTCTCCCCCTTCTTTTTTTTTTTTTTTTTTTTTGGGGTTTTTTTTGATTTTTTTGTTGATTTTTTTTGTTTTGTTTTGTTTTTTTAAAGGTTTTGTTTGTTTTCTTTCCTCTGGCGATTGTGTGTTGGGTCCCTTTTTCGCGTGAGCAGATGCTGGTTGACTTGTCAGGGTGTTTGCTGCAAACAGTGTAAGCATTGTGACTGCAAATAAAACTTCAATGGTTTCTACTGACCACGTGTCTGGCACCCTGAGTTCCCCAAAAACCTCCCCTGCAGCCCCAAGATCTCCCCCCTGCACCCTGGTTTTACCCAAAACCCCAAAATCTCCCCTGGAGCCCCAAGATCTCCCCCTGCACCCTGGTTTTACCCAAAAATCCAAAATAGCCCCTGCAGCCCCAAGATCTCTCCTTGCACCTTGGTTTTAACCCAAAATCTCCCCTGGAGCCTCTCCTTGCACCCTGTTTTTACCCAAAATCTCCCCTGGAGCCCCAAGAGCTTCCCCTGCACCCTGAAATCTTCCCCTTGCACCCTGATTTTCCCCCCTGCATCCCAAAATCTCCCCTGGAGCCCCAAGAGCTCTCCTTGCACCCTGTTCTCAAACAAAACCCCAAAATGTCCAAAAGAGCCCCAAGACCTTCCCCAGAACCTCAAGATCTCCCTCTGCACCACAAATTTCCCCCCTGCACCCCAAAATCTCCCCTGCAGCCCCAAGATCTCTCCTTGCACCCTGTTTTCACCCAAAA